TTGCCGAATCACTGTGCCGTTAATGTGATTTACTTCCACGGAACGACTGACAACTCCCTCTGCGAGGGCTGATAACCCTCAGAACGGCTGACAACCCCCTCTCCCCCACAGGGCAGCTGACAATCCCCACCCCCACAGGACAGCTGACAACCCCCACCCCCACAGGGCAACTGACAATACCCCCAGGACAGCTGACATCCCCACAGGTGTTGACAACCCCACTTCACAGGCAGCTGACAATCCCCACCCCACAGGACAGCTGACAACCCCCCCACCCCCACAGGGCAGCTGACAATCTCCCACCCCAGGACAGCTCCCCCTCCCAGGACAAGTAACACCCCCCTCCCCCAGGACAGCTGACAACGCCCTCCCAAGACGGGGTAACAATTGCCCCCACCAGGACAGCTGACAACTCCCCCCCAGGACGGCAACAGTCACCACCTCTCCCAGGACGGGTAACAGTCACCCCCCCCAGGACAACTGACGGTCACCACCCCCCTCCCAGGACGGGTAACAACCCCCTCCCAGGACAACTGACAGTCACCACCTCCCCAGGACAACTGACAGTCACCACCGACAATCACTCCCATGACAGCTGACAATCACCACTCCCTCCCATGACCTGACAATCACCATCCTTCCCATGACAGCTGACAATCACCCCCCTCCCATGACAGCTGACAATCACCACTCCCTCCCATGACAGCTGACAATCACCACTCCCTCCACCATGACAGCTGACAATCACTCCCTCCCAGCGACGCTGACAATTACCACCCATCCCATGACAGCTGACAATCACCATCCCTCCCGTGACAGCTGACAATCACCACCCCAGGACAACTGACAATTACCTCCCAGACAGCTGACACCACCACCCACCCATGATAGCTGACAATCACCACTCCCTCCCATGACAGCTGACACCACCACCTCCCTGTGACCACCCCCTCCGTGACAGCTGACAACCACTCCTCCCTGGACCACCCCCAGGACAACTTACCACTCCCATGACAGCTGACAATTACCACCCACACATGACAGCGACAATCACCACTCCCAGGACAGCTGACAATTACCACCCACCACTTGACAGCTGACCACTCCCTCCATGACCTGACAATCACCATGACAGCTGACAATCACCCCACAGCTGACAATCACCACTCCCTCCCATGACACAGACAACAATCACCACCCCCTCCATGACAGCTGACAATCAACAGCCCCGACGTCACCACTCCCTCCATGACAGCTGACACCACCCCTCCCATGACCAGCTGACCACCACTCCCTCCATGACAGCTGACAATCACCACTCCCTCCATGAACAGCTGACAATCACCACTCCCTCCCATGACATGACAATTTACCCCCATCTCATGACGGCGGCTTAATCACCACCCCCTCCCGTGACAGCTGACAATCACCACTCCTCCCAGGACAACTTGACAATTACCACTCCCCATGACGCTGACAATTACCACCCACCTATGACAGTTGACAATCACCACCTCCCGTGACAGCTGACAATCACTGACCCTTCCTGTGACAGCGACAATCACCACTCCCAGGACAAATTGACAATTACCACTCCACAGCGACACCACCACTCCACCCATGATAGCTGACAATCACCACCCCACTCCCGTGACAGCTGACAATCACCACTCCCTGACAGCTGACAATTACCACCCACCCTGGACAATTACCACCCACCCATGACAGCTGACAATCACCACTCCCTCCCCATGACAGCTGACAATCACCACTCCACTCCCATGACAGCTGACAATGACGGCTGACACCACCCCCTCCCGTGACAGCTGACAATCACCTCTGGGACAACTGACAATTACCCTCCCAGGACAGCTGACAATTCTCAGCAGCCATGAGTCCCGCGAAGCAGCTGACAATCACCACCATCCCATGACGGCTGACAATCACCACTCCTCCCCATGACAATTGACAATCACCACCTCCTGGGCAGCTGATCAAATTCAGGACCTGACCTCCCTAGGACAGCTGACAATCACACCCCCCTTCCCATGACAGTTGACAATCATATCCCTTCCCATGGACAGCTACTAACCATCCATGGCAATCACCACCCCCTCCAATACCTGACAACTACCTCCTAGGCAGCAATCATCACCCCTTCCCCAGACAGCTGACAATCACCACCCCTTCCCATGACAGCTCTCCCCTGGACAGCTGACAATCACCACCCCCCCATGACAACTGACAATCATCACCCTTCCCGCGACAGCTGACAATCACCACCCTCTCCCTGGACAGCTTGACAATCACCCACCCCTCCCGACAGCTGACCTGTGCCCACACTCGCTCCCAGGCCAACTGACAGTCACCCCTCCCAGGACAGCTGACAATCAACACCCCCTTCCCATGACAGCTGACAATCACCACTCCCTCCCATGACAGCTGACACTACCACCCATCCCATGACAGCTGACAATCACTACTCCCAGGACAACTGACAATTACCACTCCCATGACAGCTGACAATTACCACTCCATCCCATGACAGCTGACAATTACCACCCATCCCATGGCAGCTGACAATCCGCACCCCCCTCCCGCGACAGCTGACAATCACCACCCCTATGACAGCGATCCCACCCTGACAGCTGACAATCACCACCCCTCCCTGGACAGCTGACAATCACCCCCTCCCTGGACAGCTGACAATGACGGCCTGACCAATCACCACCCCCTCCCTTGGATAGCTGACAGCTGACAACCACCCCTCCCTGACACACCCCTCCTGGACAATCACCACCCCCTATCCCTGGACAATCTGACAATCACCACCCCCCTCCCCATGACAGCTGACAATCACCACCTCCTCCCTGGACAGCTGACAATCACCACCCCCTCAATCACCACTCTCCCATGACAGCTGACAATCACCACCCTCCCATGACAGCACAATCACCACCCCCCCATCCCATGACAGCTGACAATCACCACCCCCTCCCATGACAGCGACAGTCAGCACTTCCCCAGTAGCTGACAATCACTACCCCCTCCCAGGACAGCTGACAATCACCACCTCCCTGGACAGCTGACAATCAGCATCCTCCCATGACAGCTGACAGTCAGCACCCCCCTCCCAGGACAGCTGACAATCACCACCCCCTCCCAGGACAGCTGACAATCACCACCCCCTCCCTGGACAGCTGACAATCACTCCCCTCCCATGACAGCTGACAATCACCCCCCCTCCCATGACACAGGTGACAGTCAGCACCCCCCAGGACAGCTGACAATCACCACCCTCCCAGGACAGCTGGACAATCACCACCCTCCCTGGACAGCTGACAATCACCACCCCCCTCCCATGACAGCTGATAATCAGCACCCCCTCCCAGGACAACTGACAATCACCACCCCCTCCCATGACAGCGGCAGTCACCACCCCCCAGGACAGCTAGCAATCACCACCCCCTCAGAAGGATAATCCATACCTCCCTGGACAGCTGACAATCACCACCCCCTCCCTGGACAGCTGACAATCACCACTCCCTCCCATGACAGCTGATAATCAGCACCCCCTCCCAGGACAACTGACAATCACCACCCCCTCACATGATGGCTGACAATCACCACCCCCTTCCCAGGATAACTGACCAACCCACCCCCTTCCCAGGATAACTGACCAACCCACCCCCTCCCAGGACGGGTAACAATGCCCACCTCCTCCCAGGACAGCTGACAACCACTATCCTAAGTCGGGGGATGACTGATAGCCCACACACCTGAGAACCCCTCCAGGATGGCTGACGGTCATTCTTCCGAAGACAAATGAGAACCCTCCCTCCTAGGATGGCTGACAGCCATTTCCTATGAGGACTGACAGCCCCACACCTAGGATGGTTGACAACCACTTTCTAGGACGGCTAACTACCACCCCTCCGAGGACGGCTGACAACCACCCCTTGTAGCATAGTCTATACTTATTTTTAACTTCTGAGCTGTACTCTATGGCAAGACTTTAGGTATGTTTCTCAGGAGGTCACTTCCCCTAGCCTATCAAGGTTTTGCCACCCACTGGAGAATTTTAGAATGTAACCCGTGTTTGGTGAGGGACGCTTGTACGTATCTCCTATTTTTTTTTAATTTTATTTTCTAGTCTTTATTACAGTTTTGTACTGTACTTGTTTCCTTTCACAAATTATAATATTGGGGCCTGTCTGTAGTGTTGCCCTTGTCTGTCAATCTTTCTCCTAAAAGATGTAACTAACTTGCCCCACAATCCTATTTAGATTTATTTCATATTTGGGTTACAGTTGTCATCGTGTACACATCCGGGTTTTGTGTGGGTGTTTGAAAAAAGTCAAGGCTACAGCTTAGGGTCAGATTTCAAAATACAATTCACAGGAATTAAAAACTGTCATACTGTATTTTCATGTTGTATCACATTTGTATACTGTGCTGGGTTATCCATCTTGTACAGATGTGTTTGTTTACTTTGTTATTTTGATGGTTTTAAATGAAGTTATGCCTTTTCAACAAATTGGCGATATTCATATTGTTGGAAATATACCAGTACTTATGTACAACAGATATCTATTATGAACATGTTTAAAGTGGCTACCTAGCTTCATATTTAATTGTTGATTAAAGCATGTAAGTTACTTTATTAGATCATTGCAATGTATTACAGTATGCAGTACAGTACTGTAGCACATTTTATAGTAGGTAAGTTTAAAGTTGAACTGTGTGTGAGAAGTAATTACTGTATTTGGGTACAGTATTACTTTGTTCAGTGGGCATATTATTTACTTAATTTTTAGGTACTAATGTACAGTACCTGTACTTTATTTTTTGTATTTATTTTTTTTACCAACCTTTCAGTTTGTTTATATTGTATTATACAGTACAGATAAATCAAAAGGCATCAGCAGGTTTCTTGGCATTACAGAATTCACATTAGACAGTGATATTGTATATTAAGTGGTATGTATCTGTTGTTACAGTAAGAAGATCGAGAGCATCGGGAGGATGACGGCGCTGACCCAGGAGGAGGTGGCGTCTCACACCCGGACCGTGGTGCAAGGGCTAGAAGCGCTCAGGAATGAACACAATTCCATCCTCAGTGGCATCAACACCACACTTGCCTCCTCGCACCATCCGCCAGATTCCAATGTTATTTCTGAAAAGGCCGGCATTCTCCAGAAGTCCCTTGACCAGATTGAACTGGGGCTCTCAGAGGCTCAGGTAGGGAACCTGTTAAGTTGTATATTTCTCTGGATTGTTTTTTATGAACTGTGACACTGAGTATTTATTAAGTGGCAAAAGATTTATAGTGAATTTAATTGAACATCAAAGATGCAAAGTACAGTACAGGTGGAAGACCTCCCAGTTTTCCACAGATTTTTGCAAACCTCCACATTGAAGACAATATTTGACATATAAGAACACCCTTTTGTAGGCCAACCTCAAAGTTTTTATTATTATTATTATTATTATTATTATTATTATTATTATTATTCATCTGTACAAGATCTGTGTCAACATCAGTTCTTAATTTTCGTCAGTCTTAAACACTGTCACACTCCTGGCATTCATTGTAGGTGTCATTGTCATCAATGTTCTTGTTAGTATTTGGCATTAGTTGTCATTTTCATCGGTTTTGTTCTCAGTGTTAAAGTATGGCATTGTACTGTAGACTTATCAATATTAATCTCGTGGTGGTTGAGGTTGAAGTGGTGGTGAAGGTTAAGGTGGTGATGGAGGTTCAGGTGGTGGTGAAGGATGGGGTTGAAGTGGTGGAGGTGGTGGTGATAGGTTAAGGTTGAAGTGGTGGTGGCTGAGATGGTGGAGGTAGTGATGGTTGAAGTGTTGGTGTTGGTTGGGATGGAGGTGGTGGTGAAGGATGAGGTTGAAGTGGTGATGCTTGAAGTGATGGTGAAGGATGGGGTTGAAGTGGTGATGCTTGAAGTGATAGCGATGGTTGAAGTGGTGATGGAGATTGAGGAGGTGGTGAAGGATGGGGTTGAAGTGGTGGAGGTGGTGGTGATAGGTTAAGGTTGAAGTGGTGGTGGTTGAGATGGTGGAGGTGGTGGTAGTGATGGTTGAAGTGTTGGTTGGGGTGGAGGTGGTGGTGGTGAAGGATGAGGTTGAAGTGGTGATGGTGATTGAGATGGAGGTTGGGGTGGTGGTGGAGGTGAAGGATGAGGTTGAAGTGATGGTGGTTGAGGTTGGTAGTGTTGGTTGAGGTGGTGGTGAAGGTTAAGGGTTGAAGTAGTAGTAGTAGTAGTAGTGGTGGTGGTGGTTGAGATGGTGTTGGTTGAGGTGGTGTTGGTTGAGGTGGTGGTGGTGGTGAAGAGAGTGCTGTTAGATAATCTGGAGCAGTACAGGTAAAGGATTTTACCCGGGCTTGGTCAATATTTGATTTGGCTCTGTTTACTCTTAACATTATACCTTCCACCACCTTCACTACAGCTCCTGTACCACCTGCACCTTCACCTACCTCCTGTCACTTCCGAGTCCTACTGCACCTTCACCTACCTCCTGTCACTTCCGAGTCCTACTGCACCTTCACCTACCTCCTGTCACTTCTGAGTCCTACTGCACCTCCACCTACCTCCTGTCACTTCCGAGTCCTACTGCACCTTCACCTACCTCCTGTCACTTCCGAGTCCTACTGCACCTTCACCTACCTCCTGTCACTTCCGAGTCCTACTGCACCTTCACCTACCTCCTGTCACTTCAGTCCTACTGCACCTTCACCTACCTCCTACACCTCCTCCGTCAGGTCCCACTACACCTCTACCTGAGTCCCACTGTCACTTCCGAGTCCTACTGCACCTTCACCTACCTCCTGTCACTTCCAGTCCTACTGCACTCCACCTACCTCCTGTCACCTTCCAGGTCCTACTACACCTTCACCTACCTCCTGTCACTTCCGAGTCCTACACCTTCACCTACCTCCTGTCACTTCCGACTGCACCTTCACCCACCTACCCTCCTGTCACTTCCGAGTCCTGCACCTTCACCTACCTCCTGTCACCCTGAGTCCTGCCTTCACCTACCTCCTGTCACTTCCGAGTCCCTACTGCACCTTCACCTACCTCCTGTCACTTCCGGGCACGTCAGTCCTACTCACCTTCACCTCCTGTCACTACCTACCTGTCACTGTCACCTTCACCTTCACCTACCTCCTGTCACTTCCAGTCCTACTGCACCTTCACCTACCTCCTGTCACTTCCAGGTCCTACCTGCACCTTCACCTACCTCCTGTCACTTCCGAGTCCTACTGCACCTTCACCTACCTCCTGTCACTTCCGAGTCCTACTGCACCTTCACCTACCTCCTGTCACTTCCGAGTCCTACTGCACCTTCACCTACCTCCTGTCACTTCTGAGTCCTACCACCCATCACTGATACTTGTCACCAGTCACCTTTGATACATTCCTCTTATCATTTCTAGTCATATCCAACACTTCAGTATCATACCTTTAGTTACAGTATTTACTTGTCACTCATTGTGATCTAATATTGATCACAGGCTCTATCTTATGTTTCTTACAACTGTACCTACTGTATCACCATTGGCACTTATCATATTCCTGTACTGTCACCACCAATCATTCCTTAGGACTTCTATCTTACCACCTGTAACTTTTGTCTTTTTCCTCCAGTTATCTCTTATTTATTTGTATCTCTTATTGAATTAGTTATTTATTACCCTGGCTTCACCTGTGGGGGCAGGGTATTTAATTTTTGGTCCTGCTTGTCTGTCTGCCTGTTTTTGTATTTTCATAACTCGAGAATAGATTTATGGCTTTACACCAAACTTGGTAGGTTTGATTAAACATATGACAATGTCTATGTGATAAATGTGTGGGGTAAATCATGCCAAAATTTTCTTTTAGCAGACAACAGGAGAAGGCTAGAGGCCTTCATAATATGATGCTAAAAGAGAATGCAAATTCAAAGTTATATTGACTGGAAAACGAAAGAAATACTGTACAATAAAAGCTTCAATGTCTGGCATGCTTCTGTAACTGGTATTTTTTATATCTACCAGTATTGTACATATGTCCAGGCTATTTATCCTCAGAAATGTACCGTACTCTTTTAGTGTTAAGGCTATTGTTCTGTACAGTAATGTTAAGTGTGTTTTAACACTTTTGGGTAGGCACTCTCTTATGAGACACTTGGAGTCTGGCCTGATATTCACCTCGCCCCACTTGACTGCACCACACAATAGATAATTGTACGTAATCAGTCATAGTAAGCTTGCTATTTGAGATAGGAAGGTGGGATTTGTTGCAATAGCATTGTAAATATATTATCTACAAACATCTTTTAATAAGTAATCACCAAAAAAATAATTTATATATTTTAAATGCGAGTAGAGCACTACATTTTTTTTATGCTTAATGAATATGTTTATATATCACTTTATGCCTTCATTATTTCATGTGATTGCAATGTGAACCTTATTCCATTATAAAGCATAAATGTTTAGGAAAAAAGTAATAGAAGAAAGATTGTGAACAAAATATTTTCACTAGGGAGAGGCATCAGGAGGCACTAAACTATCACCACGTAGTGGCCTCTTCCTGTGCATTTTATGTTTTCCCACCCCTCCACCCTCGCCAACAACATGAAACATGGTTGAAAACTCTCACAACACTGTTATAAATACAGGGATAAATGAAATCACTGTGATGTACAAGAAATCGGCACAAGCCGCAAGAAAATGTGTGGGAAAGGTAAGTCAATGTTATATCCTGTATCTTTTAATCATAAAAGGGAGATTAGTGTGGTGACCTTGGAGTGTAGTACTGTACATATACTAGTTACCAGATCATGCTGACATTGCCAAATGTGCATCTTGCGTGTCAAGCGTTCATACGCAAACATAAAATTATTTAATTAAAATTTTTTACTTCATATGCAAATTTACATATGAAAACCCTAAAGCAATTAATTTAGATCATAGGCAATTTTGCGTATGAGAACTCAGAGTTTTAACATGGTTATGTACATTAAAGTGATATTAGAATAAATATAACTACATTTAAATTGCATAAAAACTTAATCAAGAATACTGCACTGCAGTACTATTCTGCTACTACTGTACATCAGGTAATTGAATGGTGTATACATGTAAGTCTGTACTGTACCTATATTGTATTACTGTACATTATGTTGATAAGAGTAACATAATTAACTGGTACTATTTGATTACCCACACCCCCCATTACCCCCTCACTCATGCCAGATAACAAAGCTTCTGGAAATTCATTGAGTAATAAAGTTATGAGATACTTCGGCCATAAAATTAAGAATGAAGTTACAATATATTGGCAGAGATATTGATGGGCAAATTTGAAGGTAGGAAGGCCTAGGGAAGGCAGAGACTGGTATGGTCGTTTACTCTCGGACCTTAGGATGGGACCTTGATTTTGGATATCATTAGCTTTACCATACTTTGGGAACTATTTTGACATACCTTTGACAGTGTTTATTGCACATTTTAAGAGAAGTGAGTGATTTTTGCTTGCTTCTATAATTACCAAATTGTGTATTTCCAACAGATCATGCTGGCTCTGGCTTCACACCTTCAGACTGTTGAGGCAGAAAAACAGAAGCTGAGGGCTCAGGTTCGGCGGTTGTGTCAGGAAAATGCTTGGCTGCGGGACGAGCTGGCCTCCACGCAGCAAAAGTTACAGGCCTCTGAGCAACATGTAGCACAGCTGGAGGAAGACAAAAAGCACCTAGAATTTATGTCTACCATCAAGAAATATGATGCAGATGTTCAGGTTAGACACTTGCATAAATGAATACAGTTAGTTTTAAATATTTTCTATGATAAATGCCAGTGATCATCCGTTAAAAGGCAATTTGTGGATGAGTGGATATTGTACTGCCTTTAACCCTTTCACTGTGGGTGTCCCATATATGTGACAGCATGATTCACTTTCTGGACTGTGGGTTGGCATCGATCAATTTGCCACATGAATGGGTGATACTTTTTTCAGCTCTGGTGCCCAGTATCCATCAAGATGTTACAGAGGAGATGACAAAGTCTTACCATAAACTAGTAATGTACAAGTACTTAATTGTATACTGCCCCCATGCCTTGCCTTGAAGTAAATTTGTAGAATAGGAGTTTAAAAAAAGGGGCAAAACACTTGGTTACTATTGTATCCAAGTTTTACCTTTTGAGCTCAAAAGATGTCCGAGATATATCCTAAACAAGGAAGAAAACAATATAATGCAGCAACCAATAATTACCTCTCATCTGGAACTAACTCGTGTCATTACAGCACATGCTTCACACAGCACATTAAGACAGGTGGAAGGGGGGGGGGGTGTAAATTAATGTTTCGTCACAACTAAATACGAGTTCAATAAAGAGAATCACAACATTGATATATCATGCATTTTTTATAATCGAGATACTCGCCAAGCTGAATTTGTCTTTTGAGATCATAATGGTAAAAACAGGAATAATCAATTACTGAAGTATGTAAAGAATTCAAGCTAATTTGGAGAATTTTTTTTTTGTGAATAGTAATACCTGGATTGTATAAAGAAGTAGCAGTAATTCAAAGTTCTGTGTTATACTGTTTGTGTCTGGATTTTTTTTTTGGGGATTTTAACATTAAAGGTGTAATACGGTATGTACTGTATTTGAAATTCTTTAATGTTGAGAAAGAGTCTGTTGAGGATGTGGTCATACTATAAAGAGGAGCTTATTAAGGAATGCAATGATAAAGATATTTTGCTTACAATTGTGTGGTTTGTTATGCATCTAATGTTACTTGGAAATGACTGAAGTTCATACTTAAAGGGTAGTAATAGTTTTGTACATTGTTGATTTGTAGGATTCTGAATCATCTATGGAAGAGAAGAAGGACAAGAGTGATGACCCAGTCGTGGACTTGTTCCCTGATGATGATGCAGATGACAGGGCTGGTAAGGAACATTATAGCAAACCTCAGTTCCATATTTATAATTATTATCCCTTTATCCTTGTTTCTTTTCATATTGCCCATCAAACACACATTATTGAACCCTCTGGAGCACCATGTTGTCTTGATTTGCATCTCAACCACAAGCAGTTGATTTAGTTAGGTGTTTATGCCTATCAGAAGTTCTTAGATATATGTAGCAATGAATGTGACAGTTGAATGTTAAGTTACTTCATAAAACTTTCTTTCTTACAGACAGTTTGGGAAACAAGTTTCAATGAAATGTAACTTTGTAATCCTTCCCAGTTGTCATGGTTTTTGGCTTTTGTGTGCTACATCAGGACACCCTTATTTCATTGTGCTTTAAATGTTTCTTTTTCATATTTACAACATAATCTGTTTTATTTTCTTAGTTCATGTTGACTGCTAAGGTCCTTCATCACACCTTGAAAGTCAATAAGTTTAATATATATCGGAAGCGAGACCTATTACTGACCTACATGTCACGTACCTAGTGTCTCTTTATGAAACTTTGCTTTGTCCTTAAATTAATTATTTAGTGTAATATTTTGTCATTACAAAATCATGAAAAGAATATATATTTTTTTTTGTGCTTGGTGTGGTGCAAGGTGCTGTACTGCTGTCCACCTCAGTTGCACTTTTTTGCCCAAGTTTTGTATCACTGGTTTAATGTTAATCCAGAATATTCTCTGTTTCACTTCTAAGTACTTCACTGCAAGAGCACTTACTTAACGAACCCTATGTAACCCCCTCTTTACCACAGACCTCAAACATGATACATACATACCACACCAGTAATACTACCTACCACAGTTCTGGTGTGCAGTGAAGAAGGGGTTAATGCTTTGATATATTACTATACATAAACATTCATAGATTGCATAATTTGGACTTTCCTTGGCACTTAAGATAACAACTGGGCCATAAGTTATTAATTTTCATATAATTTTTCAAATGGATCCTAAAATATAATAGGCCTTTAAAATGAGTTCAGTACAGTACTGAACTTTGTTTAATGAACCAATAATGTATGTGAATTATGGTTTGATTGTTTATGCACAAGTTGTGCCAACACAGATGTAAGCATTCATCAAATTTTATGGCCAAAATATTAATATGTATTGAATTTTATTTTAGGAATGGTCAGTTGTTGTTTTAAATGAATAAATTTTAATGAAATTAATATTAGTCCATTCATCCTAGTATTAATGTTAGAATTTTAAGAGTTCATACTAAAGAAAAATGTTTCTGATCAAAAATTACATACCCAGTACGTCATATGGGACTACTACAGTAACACAATCTCAATCTTCAACACTGATGCAGTTTTATGTAACTTTTTATATGTATTGAACTGCTTTATCAGCAACTACAGTAAAATAGTATATTCTTTATATTTGATGTAGTTTCATACATTCATAATACAGTGGTCCCTCGATTAATGAATACAATTGGTTCCACAGTCGTTCATTAACCAAAAATTTTGTAAACTGAATATTATTTCAATGGGATATTGGGTAATTGGTTCCAACTCACAGAAAAAGTACATACAAAGTACTGTATACTGGTAATAGAATTAACAAAACATTAAATATAAACTAAATACAGTACTGTACTGTACAGTATACTTTACAATAATAAATAAAAAACATTATAATAATGTATTTTAACTTACTTTGAGGTGTGTATGTCGTATTCCCGGCAGCTTTGTTTACATATCAAACAACTGATTGTAAAGGCAGTCGATGATGACATGCCATATTCTTTAGAGTGCATTGGTTCTAATTCCTTCTTCATATTTCATAATAGTTTCTGCACTGTATATTAACAATATGTGAACTTAATTTCAGAATGACCAATAATTTTAATGTACCGTAAAAATGCAAAAATATTCGAGACCAACAAACTGAATGTTCACTCCACTGTAAACGTTAAACGGAGAAGCGTTGGTGGGCGATTCGATCAGCTGAAGGGCACACAAAAACTGTTCCCTGTACTGTATATATTATCAATATGTTGACTAAATTTCAGAATGACCAATAATTTTAATATAAAAATATTCAAGAGCACAACTTTCTTGATATTTACTCCACTGGAAACGAATGTAAACATAGAACCAATTACTTTATTGGAGGACTAGCGGATTAGCTGATGCGCACAATAAAGCGTGTTTCTCGTAAGGCTTTCGTTAAAGGAATTGAAAATCCTTATGGGAGCTAATTTGTTAATTGGACCATTCATTAATTGAGGGACCACTGTAGTTTGATTGAGAAGTAACATTATACAGTAATTAAGACAAAAATTATGTACTTTATATTAAAAAATTCAACCTTCCAGGTGTAACTGCTAGAATTAAAATCCATTGTAAATAATGTGTTCGGTGAAGGAAGAAAGTTGACATATGGGAAGAAAATGCTTGACATTAATATACTTTAGGGAAAGAATGGGGTAAAAATAATAGAAACAGGGGGCAAAAGAAACCTATAGTGATGGTCACCCTGGAGGCTCTTTTGTAATGGCCATCTCCTCAGGGGAGTGAGTGGTTGGAGGTAAGACAAACTCAATACAAGGTATCTAGAAAACTGTAATCTACACTTTAATATTTATTTGATATTGCAAATTCCTAGAAATCCAAGAAGTATAGTAAAAGGAAAATCCATAAACATTTGGATGCGAAAAGTTTTTGAAGTGTCGGTGTCTTCTATGGGGAACATTGGCTAATATAATATAAGTTTAATGGACTTCTGGATATAGGCGGTACAGTACTGTACTATGTAAAATTATCAGATATTTTTTATGGGGAGTGTTGTAAGACTGAAGTTGGAATTATCCAATAATGCTATTCTAATTAATATAACTGCACCAGAGAGTACTGTATAATATAAATTCAGTGGTGAGGCTTTTGCCTTGGCAAGGCATGACACAAATCATAGTGCTGTCTTTCAAGATTTGTAGTTGTCCAGTTTAGGGATGCACATTTATCAAGCAGAATTTTCTTTTAAAAGTCACTCATAGCAATAGGTATTACTGTACTAAGAAACTACCTTGCTTGAATAATGTAGAGTGTAATCATGTGAAAACAAGGTGAAGGCAGAATCACTTCAAGAGCCAATTTCTAATTTGTCTTCTTTTAGTGCTTACAGTTTTATTACATTATTATGGCAAGCACTTTGTTCCTTATAATTAATCCTTGTGCCCCTAGCAACAAAATATCCACTGGAACCCCCACACAGGCATATTTTGGCCAAAAAAATAAATAAATCCAGTCAAAAACTGGTATTTGACATAAAATTAGTGCAGTCACTCCAAGTATACTGTTGTGGCTGGTGTGCTTATGGTCCCCTATGTCCATGGTGCCCATGACCTCGCTGAGGAGGTGGCTGGTGGGATATGGAGTTAGTGCCATTGTCTTTATTACTGTTCTCACTTCTGGCTACTTCAACAAACTCAACATCATCTGGGCCTGTTTCCTCCCCATCCCTGTCTTCATCACTCAATACATTATCAATGCCATTCAAATCGAGCAACTCTTTATGAATAGCACTATTGTCGAGGGGAGGGAGGGGCGAGGTGAGTCATGTGACATCGAAGGATGTGCATCCATCATGATAGCTGGTGGGTAACTGGACCACTATACTTGAGACAAAGATGTGCGAGTTGAGGTGCCAAATAAATAAATATCATATACAAAGTACTTCGTCCTACCTGGACATCCAAACCATGCCACGAAAATTAAGTACGTAGAGGAACGTTACTCGGGGTCGCTATGACGGATATAGAGGAACATCATCCAAGCTTTAAGGGTAAATAAAGAATAGTCTTTATAAGGAAATTCATCCGGATACTTGACACTTTTATTGAGTACCCTGTACTATTGAGTACTGTAGTCCTAGAGATACAGTCTCTTTACTGAGCAAGTTGCCATTATTGCGAAAAGGTGTTCAGCTTCTCGAGTGTCCCTGTGATGTTAGTTTTAGCTATGAATTATTTGATCCTTTTATTTTTTATTCACTTCAACCAGAGATGAATCCCACTTGATTTTTAATTTTTTGATGACTAATGTATACTGCATACTAATCTTGAAACCTTTGCTATACCAGAATTTCTGCTGTTTGGGACTGTTTTATGCAATAAATAATGTAGTTTAGTGGCTTAGTACTGTACTGTTTTTCTTAAGGGGAAGCCAGATGATGGAATCTGAGATATGGAAGACATAAAAGTTTTCTTTTTTGCTATTATTACAGTACAGTACACTAGTGTTATTTTTAATTAACTTAGCAATAAAAGCAGGAAGGTTGAAGAATAAAGTGATGACTGGGTATGTATTCCAACATTGATCAGAAGTTTAGATGCGATTGTATAATGAAATTGATTATTTTGTAGGTTTTATTGTATAATCATGGTACAGAACCATATCTTACAATGAGGAACTAAATTCTTTTTCATGAGAGAACTTTGATGTTGTTTATCCCCCACCTCTTCCAGTGCAGCATCTGGTGTGCACGTGATTATGGATGCCCATTTAAATTAACTAAAATCCATACTACAGCAAATGATTATTTAATACCCTTTCTAAAACTCAAAATTACTTGTACAAAAACATGTATTCAGTTCAAAATACTGTATACAAATTAAAATCTGTTTGTTGATTGGTTCATGTAATAGTGGTTCCAGATTAGAAGCTTGTCACTACATGATACTGTATAAAAAATAATCTTTAAAGAAAAAATTTGAAGTTTCAGTAATAAATATTCAGTCTTTCAGTGTAAAATTCTATGCTGGATATGGAAGATTTCTTAGGCTAATATACTTAAAAAGGACATATGCCTATTAATTTATCATCTGTGCTTGTATTTATTTTCGTACATAGAGACATGATTGTACAACTTTGTGGATCGTTGAATGGTGTCAAGTATTTTTTTCACTGTTTTAGATGGTGTATTGTAAATGGTGGTAAAGAAAATTTAAAGGATCTTTAGGTTTCCATCCGTATTTTTTCATCATTAAAATTATTTACTCTGTTTATTCAAATTTTTCTGCAGGGTGGCACACTTAACACTTGTTTATATATAGACTGATTTATAGTCATCTATACATTTTTTAGGTCTTCCAGTGAGATGTGTACACTTTTTGTACAGTATTCAGTAGTGTGTATACATCCAACTTTGCTTATCCTTATACACTTCCATATTGACACCCTTCATCGTAACTTCCAGTCTGATGCACACAATGTTCTTCGATGCACACACTGTTCTTCACATAACCAACTTTGAACAATCCACACATGGTCTCTGCTGTCTCCCATCTGTGTATACACTGTATTGACACATGCTTAATGTTACTGTAGTCTCTATACATGCCAACCTTGCACTACTACTCCTTACACCTTATTCCATCTTTTCACCTTTCACTTGAGCTTCCCATTCTTTGTACAGTCAGGACCGGATTCAGGAGTGGGCAAAGTGGGCAGCTGCCCAAGGGCCTCCACAATCTGGGGGCCTCCACATATTACAATATTTTACTTATTTGTTTATTCATTTGGATTATTTTTATTTTCATTCTTTAAAATTCATGTTTCTCTATTCCAACACGTAAAACTATGTTCAGCAAGAAGCGTGATAGAAATTAGGCTAGTTACTCCTTGAAATTCATGAATACCTGGTTTTCCTATGAACCGTATATTTTTAATGAATGCTATTATTTGTGTTGCTAATAATATATTTAGAATTCCACAAACATATATGGCTTCAAAATTCTCCAAAGAAGTGTTCAAATTTAAAAATTTTCCCGGGAGGCTTACAGCGCCCCCCAGAACTTCCAGATGTTTAGGCTCGCTTCACTCGCCACCCCACCCTCTTGGGTAGTTATAATGAGGGGGGCCTCCACAAAGAGGCTGCCCATGGGCCTCCACATGTCTAAATCCGGCACTGTGTACAGTACAACCTTTCTTATCCATGTACTGTACAGCCATTTCTAGTCTAATTGATTTTAAAATTTTGATACTGTTTAGGATGAGAAAAACACTTCTGTATATTTTCTCCAGATATACTTTGTGACTTTCGCTAAATCCATCCTGTCATGATAATTATACTATCTCGGAACTCGGTCCATTGCTTATAGCTCATCGTTTTCCTAGCGTGTACTCTCTATCCAAGTATTACACAGTACAGGTATCCCTTGTTTAACGATTGGGATGAATTCCTGAAAACCTCATCGTTAAGCAAAATGTTCGCTAAATGAGGGATAACGGAAATAACATCCTAAACGAGGAATACTATCCGTGGAGATGGGACGGAATTGCGTAGCAGAGTTGAAATGGCCTAAAAATGCCCATGTTATTGGTCAAATTAAAAAAAAGATAATTATAAATTGGGGGGGGGGGGTTACAGTGCCACGTGTATACAGAGAGAGAGAAAGCTGGGTGTGCTCACCATGTTCTCTCACCCACAACTTCTTGCCACCCCTCCCCCCCCCCCCCCCTTGCTCATAATTTGGGTAGATATACCATACCATTTTTTCTTCATTTTCTTTTACTCTTGTCACATGCATATACAATCGTTCATACAGAATGTGCAAAAAAATTAAATATCATAAGGCCAAAAACATAAAGATAATACCGTACTGTAAACATTTCTTACATGCTCGGCAGTTAGCCCACAGAGTGGGGAAGGGACAGCAGCGTAGGGGTTCTCTTAGCTGTTATCTGTCTTGTGTCCCATGAAATGATTGCTAAATGGCAACGTAGTAGTTTTTATTTTATTTATTATTATTATTAATTTTTTTATTTTTAGTTAATCCTCACATTTACTAATTCAGTATACATATGACAGTTCTTCCGGGCTGTCACCAAGCTAGCATCACGGGGAGGGAGAGTGCGGCTGGCCACAGTTACAGCTCACTAGCTCAATACATACTGTACATTCTCTTCACACACACACTCATGCTCTTCATTTTTCTTATTTTATAGTTTTATAGTACAGGTATACTGTACTGTATATATTATAAAATTATAAAATACTGTAAAGTATACAGTACAGTATTTTCTTTATTTCTAAGTCACATTATAGTATTGTAAGGATGCACATTTGGAGCACAGAATCCCCAGTTTTTACTAATTCCCTCCCGAATTTTTCCCACTGAGCCAAAGATCGCTAAACTGAAAATTGATAATCGTTAAACAAGAAAGATTGTTAAAAAATTTAAATCGCTCTACCATAATACCACGAGGTGAACGGTCGTTAAATGAAGGATACCTGTACAGGTTGTACCTCTCTAGTCCGGCAACCTCGGGACCTGACTGGTGCCGGACCATAGAAATTGCCGGACCATGGAAATTCACCCTTTTCCTGGATAGATAGTGACTTGTGCTTATGCTTGGAAGCACAAGCACCACTTTCTCTGCATCATGGTCTCTTTGAAGACATATTGAAGGGTTAAATGTCATATAGTAGCTTCTCAAATTTCGCGAGTTTTTAATTCTTAACATATTTTATTGGAACACAAAAAAATAAATAAATAAAAATTTTGACGGCGGAAACTTGAATTTCGACTGGTTTGAACGGCCCGCCAACGTGCAGATGACGTGCATAATCGTGTCATTTCTCTTATGTACAAAAGATTCATTATTGTTTATTACTGAATGTCTTTTTTATTGAATTAATGTTTGTGTGCAAAATGAGCAATACAATTCATTAATAATACGTAGAATATTAAAATACACGAGGAAATGACACAGCATTGTTTTCGCTGATTACAAAACCAGTGACTGACTGGTTCTACATATAAAACTGAAGAAAATAAGACCCTGGCTGTAGCTGTAGTAAAATTAATATGGTTGTTTTAAGTAATGTTATTTAATGTTAATAAATGGAACAATAGAAGTAGCTAACGATAATGGTAAAGAAAAAAGAGAGATCGCGTATGTAAGTGCGCATGCGCCCACGTGAAAACATATCGTCATTACTTTACATAAGAATATGAAAGCAACACTTATTTACTGTTCATATATATTTTAATTAATGTTTCTGAATTTGTTTTTATTGAATTCATGTTTGTGTGTGCAAAATTAACAATACAATTTATTAATAATACGTGGAATATTAGAGGAGACGAGACGGCTGCCGGCATTGTTTATGTTAAAGCTTACAAAACCAGTGACTGATTGGTTCTACATATAAAACTGAAGAAAATAAGACCCTGATTTTAGCTGTAGTAAAATTAATGTAAAAAAATTAATATGGTTGTTTGAAGTACCTGTAATGTTATTTAATGTTAATAAATGGAACAATATAAGTAGCTAACCATTAATGGTAAAAAAAAAGTGAGACTGCGCGTATGTAAGTGCACACATGTGAAAACATATCGTCATTACTCTACATAAGAATATGAAAGCAACACTTATTTACTGCTCATATATATTGAAGGGTTAAATGTTGTACTCTGTATAGACAAGCAGAGAGAGAGAGAGAGAGAGAGCAGCCGAACTGCCGGATGTAAACAAACCTTAATTTCCCGCTTTTTTTTTTTTTTTTTTTTTAAGGGGATTAGCCCACCCGGGCATTGGTCACTGACCACGGGAGTTTCCGGACCACAGAATGCCGGACTAGAGAGGTACAACCTGTATTACGATTCGTCTCCAATACCCTGATTTCACTCTTACATATCAGAATATACTACACAATACCTTCCTACACATAGTACTCTACACAATACCTTCTTACACATAGTACTCTACAGTCTACACACTACCAACTTGTAAATCTTGCATCCATTTTTTCTGTGTCCCCAACTTGACTCACACCAGCATTGATTATTTGAGTAGCAGTTGAAATTTTTATTTCTGTAATTATATACTGAGCACTTTCATTTGATAGAACATAAAATAGATATACCTGTCTATATGAGTCATTATTGTAGCAATGATTTTCAGTGATTATCATTTATTTTTGTGGTTTTAATATTTTTGTGATAAAACCACCATAGATATTAAAACAAACTTTCCACACAAGTACAACCAAGTCTCTTTTTTTTTTTTTCCTTTGGGAGGGTTGGTCAACACTCCTCTTATCTCTCTTGCTCACTAGAGCTGGCACACGTTTTTCCACTTTTTTTTTCCTTAGGTTTAAAGAGAAGCGGTGATTTTGGTTCTCAAGCATCATTAGGTAAGTGTTGTGTGTGCTTGCCTCTGCACTTGCATGGTATTTGTTTTATTGTTTGCTGGTGCTTCAACCTTGATGTGATCATAGTACTCGACAGTATTTTGACCTGCTTTTGGATTTCGGTTATTTAGAAGAAATTACATTTTTTAAAGAAATTGTTCGTCTTTCTCATATTTACTTGTTACTATAAATGTATTTTTAGTTATACATACCAAAGGTTTAGTGAAGTAGATTGTTTTATATTTTGGAATATTTACCATTAGAGATTGCATGGTAAATGAGTTTGTCATAGGTCCAGAGATTCCACAGCAGTTCCCTGTTTATACAACAACATTGCATGATCATAATAAAGTTGAACCTTTAACCAATGTGTCCATTTAATTACTGTACTCAGTTTTGAGTGACTCTTTGTTTTAAGAATACAGAATCGAAGTCCATATTTACACTTGAGTATATACTGTATATACTGTGTATATATATATATATATATATATATATACTGTGTATATATATATATATATATATATATATATATATATATATATATATATTGTATATATATATATATATATATATATATATATATATATATATATATATATATATATATATATATATATATATATATATATATATATATATATATATATATATATATATATATACTGTATATATAATTATACTAATCCGTGTTAACTCTTCTATATACTAGACATGACTTAACAAAGTTTGGTTACTCCATGTTTTTAAGGTTTTTGTGCTTTAGCATGATCACTTCATCAGAAAATTTTTTACAAGTCAACTTAATTAAAATTTAAATTTTTTGTATGCTTTGTACAGTAATTATGGTATGTAGAAAATGGTTTTTGATTGCCTTGCTCATCAGTAATGTAAATAAACTATTTGAGACATGAAAAAAATGTGGGAGTAGTAGTGTTGTGGTTTGTACAGGTACTGTATTATTGTAATCTTGAAATTTTTTTAAGTAAAGGTAAGTTTTACTATTAGGTATACTACAGTATTTGAAATAAACTACAGTAATAGCATACTGTATGTGGAGAGGGAATCACTTTTGTTACTTCATCTTTAATTAATTTCCTTAAATACACAGCTTCTTAAACGTATTATCACTACAGGTACTTGTTTCTTTTTCATGTTTCAACCATCATCTCTTCTGTTGCTGATGGAGAATTTTCTATCAATTTGCTGTTACTTTTGCCTAGTGTGGCTAGACTGCCCAGAGGAATCCTTGTCTTCATTAGCCTGCAACCCTTTGGTATTTACAGTTTGTGTCTGTATGACCATGAGCTTAGGGTGTCAGAGATGGACTCCTCTGACCTGGGTTTCCAGAGCTCCTCCCCGACTTATGACCTGCTCGACTTACGACCACCCGCACTTACGACCTGCCTCAGTCGTACCAAAATTTTGTCAAATTACATATTTTCGAGTCCCAACGTCAGTACACTAGATACTATTTTCTTTTGTAGTTCACTTTAAAATGGCTGGCAAGCTTAAAAGTGAGAGTTTTGTGGTGCTGAGAAGAAAAAGAGACGCCCATTTTAGATTTTCTATGTATTATTTAAGCATTTTCGACTTACAACCTGGATTTGGGTCCCTAACCCTGTCGTAAGTCGGGGAGGAGCTGTACTTATCATGCCATGAAGTTCTTTTGTGATACAGAAGCCTAAAAACTCTCTAACTCATAAATGTAATGAGGCTACAGGGGCAGATCCAATTGTGAGTGGGGAAACATGGCAAGCACAGTGAGCCCACCCAGCTGGGGGTATTGAGGGGGCACTGTAAGCCCCCAGAAATTTTTTGAAATCTGACCAATATCATGGGCGTCTTGAGACTATTTTTATGCCATGTGCACTTGATATTAGGAAATATTCTGAGGTCAGTAGTAATGACTTTTTACTATACAGTAAAACCTTGCTATTCGTGGGTTGCGATTCGTGATTTCGACTTCGTGATAAGTAGATGGTGGCTAGCTTACGAGCCTATCCCGCAGTTCAACGAGTCACCCCCTTGTGCCCGCAGTGTCTCTTCTCCCTTTATTTGCACTCAACCATTGCCTGTGATGCAGCATCTCTTGTGTTGCACTCAAAATATTAATTTTTCTGTGTGAAATGGTCCCTAAAAGACTGCCTAGTGTCAGTGCTAGTGGAGTGAAACATTTAAGAGAGGTCAATGCCAAGAGTAAACAACTACCAATCACAATGTTTTTCAAGAAAGAACCAGCCACTCGCCCAGCTGATTCGTTTCCCTCATCTACTCGGTCAGATGCTTCCGCTGCTCCGCAACACACATCCCCACGGCACCCCACCACCTGCCTCCCTGCTACATGCCTCTCTACCATCTGCCTCTTCACCAACCACCACCACTGCATCACCCTCTTTCAACAGTAATCCTGATGATCTCCCTATGCTTCAGAAACCAGATTTCATTCTTCTGTACAGTACAATTCATCAAGCTCCAAACTTCCACTTACAAAGGAGAGTAATATTCGTGACTTAAGTTTCTCATTCACTGTATAGGTAGGTATACAGTAGTGTACTAAGGTAGTGGCAACCTGTGGTGTAATAGTCAACATGCACACCTCGCAAGTGAATGGACCCGGGTTCGATCCCCTGGCAGGGTGAAACTGTGGGCAAGTTTGTTTACGTGCCATTTGCCTCGGACTACCCGGCAGTAATTGGGGACCTGGATGTTCAGAGATTTGTGGATTGTGTTCTGGGGTAACGGTTTGCCAGTGCAGTTAGCGAGTTATCCGGTCTTCTCGGACTATTCCTTGACACTGGGTCATGCACTTTGTTAACTAGGGTTTGGTTGTTGTGTTGGCGACAGCTTCTACACCTTAAACAAATTCACTCCTTGGTGGCCCAAGGGCCGGCCATCCTCGTTACACGAGGAGCAACCATTACTAAGGTAGTAGAAGTTGCTATTCATAGTTTTGTCAATTCGCATCATTCCCTGGAAAGTAACCCCCTACAAATAACAAGGGTTTACTGTGCAAAAAACACCTGAGTACATTACTGCATTAAAGAAAAAGTATTGAAATTTTCTGATGGAAAGGGGGGCCTGTACCTCACAGATCCGCCCCTGGGCTACTGGCAAGAAATCTCGTAACTAGAACTTGCATCTGAGGTGAATATTATCGTAACTGTGTAAATGGTTACTAAGAATATTATTGATCAGTTAATGTCTTGTACACTGTCTCAATGGACGAGTTGAGGGTCGTAATTTTTTCCTAAGATGGCAGGTCAATGGGTAAAGAAAGTGCTTACCGGTACATTCACTATGGTAATGATATTTTAAAATAAATTGGGCCAAAAAGTGTCAAGAATAAGGGTTGATGTTGCTAAAAATACACGTGACTGCAAAAAGCCCTGTGATTGGTTGTGACGTCACTGGTTGGGGTGCCCTTCCCAGCGGGAGTCAGCCAGCTGTATAGCTCATTTTTTCCCACCTGAGAAAAGATGCCCCGCCCCCTCCTCAAGAGTTACAGCCGATTGGCTGTTGCAAACTTGTCCGATTTTGTCCTGAAGTAATGATGTGTTTCTAAATGAGTTTATTAATAATTGTTGGGATGACTGTTTCTGATGAGAAATATGTTTATCTAAATACATGCCAGCAGCTCCCGAACCCAGGGCTTAAGGGTTAACACTAACATAATGCTGCCACACTAGATGCATTACACCACCCTGTGTGCATGCATGTGCGCACACACACGCACACACACACAGACACACACATTGAACTTGCTCATCATTAACATAATCAAACCCATGACTGTAACTCAACTGTTAATGATTTTGTCTTCTCAGATCCACTTCAGGAGGTAATGGTTCTTGGTGTGCCTCATGTTAACTGACAGTACCACTAGCATCTTGCATTTTTTGAATTGTACCGAATCTGATTTTACTTAGTTTAACAAGTGTGAAAGCCAAGTTTGGTAGATGGCAAATATTCTGATTTAAGCAATTTTTTTGGTACCTGTATATACCGGTAACATGCTAACTTATTTGTACGTTTGAAGGCAACATTATTTGCCATTACAGTGGTCCCTCGGTTAACGAACACAATTCGTTCAGAAGGTCGTTCGTTAACCGAAAATTTCGTTAAGCGAATCCATTGTTTCAATGGGATTTTGGGTAATTGGTTCCATCACAGAAAATTACATACAAAGTAAAAAAAAAAAAAAAATTGCAGTAAAGTACACTAACTTTGAGGTTGATGATGATAATGGGAATTAGAAATGGAGGTGGAGGAGAAGGGAGAAAAGAAGGAAGTGGTATGGAGGAGAATCACCTTTCAGTGGGCCCATGCTTGATGCTGTCATTTCACCAATAAAATTTTAAGTTCACTTGGTGTAATTCAAGATTATTTTCTTTAAATCAACACTGCACTACGCTATATATTATCAATACGTTAACTAAAGTTCAGAATGACCAATAATTTCAATGAAAAATGCAAAAATATTCAAGACACCAACAAAATGGCTGCTCTCGACAGTAAACAAAGCCAGACTGAACCTGTACAGGGAGTACTGCATACAGTGACCCCTCGTTTAATGAACACCTCGGTTAACGAACTGCCTACCATAAGGATCTTCAATTCGGTTAACGAACAAAAATTCGGTTAACGAATTTCTTACGAACCGACCTCAACATGTTTTCGTTTGCACTGACCGGGCAACCAGCTTTAGTATCAGTCCGCCAATACATTACTCGGTTCTAGGGCTTAAATTCCTTACTATTTTAGTAAATATCAAGAAGTTTATACTGTTCAATAATTTTAAAAGTTTAATATTCAATTTTTTAGTAATTTTAACAATTATTGAACATAATTGAAGGTAAAGTGACTAGTTTAATGCGCGGCATCCAGCCTCTTAACACAGCAAACAGGCGTTAGTCTCTCTCTGTTTTCACTGGAGGTAACATCTTGCTTGAGACTCTCTTCAACTAAACGCTTTTTTTCTGTTTCCAAGCAAATTATTGGTCATTTTGAAATATATTTTACATATTGACAATATATAATGCAGTGCAGTGTTGATTTAAAGAAAATAATCTTGAATTATACCAAGAGAGCTAAAATTTTATGGGTGAAATGGCGCCATGGGGTGACTTCTCTTCCACCCCAATGCCTTCTCTTCTTCCTTCTCCTCCACCCCCATTCTAATTTCCATCATCATCATCATCATCCAGGAGCCTTCCACATACACTCCTCAAAGTAAGTGAACTTTTCTACCATTTTTGTTGAATTTAGGAAATTTTCGGTGAGCTGGAACCAATTACCCAAAAACCCATTGAAACAATGGTTTCGGTTAACGAACTTTTCGGTTAACAAACGACCTTCTGGAACAGATTGAGTTAAATAAATGTTAAAATGACTTAAGAATTTTAATATAAAACATTCAAAAATATTAAAAAGCTTAAATTTATTTATACAGGGTATTTATTCCATTGGAAACGAATTTAAACATAGAACAGATTACTGAATTGGCTGACTACTGTACCCCCTCAGCTGATTCTCACAACAACAAACTGGTATGTTAGTTCCCTCTACAGTACAGTACTGCATATACAGTACAGTACAGTACACCTTTTCACATATCCGTTGAGACATTGTTACACAACTATTTGACAAATATCATAACCGAATGACAGAACACATATCGAATGACAATCTAAAATAACTGTTGGTGGTATGTCATTCTCCAATTGTTACATTCTCAAACTATATGTAGACTGTCGGTTCATTGTTCATGTCTGTCAACTTCATAACTTAGGTCAATCATTTCCGTTAGCATGAACGAACAGTTATTTTAGATTGTCATTCGATGTGTGTTCTGTCATTCGGTTATGAAATTTGTCAAATAGTTATGTAACAATTTCTCAACGGATATGTGAAAAGGTGTATTATCAATATTTATTGTTAAAATGACTAATAATTTTAATATAAAACATTCATAAATATTAAAAAGCTGAAATTTATTGATATTTACTCCATTGGAAACGAATTTAAACTTAGAACAGATTACTGAATTGGCAGACTGGGCCATCAGCTGGCCAGCTGATGCTCACAACAAAACGTGATTTTCGTAAGGATTTCGTTAATCAAATTTTGGTTCGTCAACCGAATTGAAGATTCTTATGGAAGGGAATTCGTTAACCGAAATTTCGTTAACCGAGGGACCACTGTATACAACTTAGTCTTTGAGATTGCATTTGTGATTTTTCTAATGGTAAGAGCTTTGGGAAATTGACAAGTAATAGGGCCATATTTGCCTGTCTTTTTATTATTCTTTTTTTCCTGGAAGATATTTGTACTGTACTGTCTTAACATTTTAATGTCACTTAAAGTTTAGTTGGGATAACTTTTATTATCTGTATGTAAATGTATATGTACTGTATGTAATGGTAATTATCAGTTTGTACGTTTCCTATTTGTATATTTGTATACAGTATGTATTGTCTGATCATATAGCTTTATTTTATATCGCCATCAGATAATCACAGCTAACCCGAGTAAGTGTGGAAAATGGTAAAGAAAAATCGGTAGTGATGATGGAAAGATAGGATGTACAGTATGCATTTGAGTGTGTGCATGCTTCCATTTAATTATTTGAATCTGCTAGTGTGTATGTATTAGTACGTGACCATCCTAATGTGAGTGTATACTGTACAGTAAGATATTGTATTTCGCGCGATTTCATTTCGCGAGCACTACCTAATGTAACCAAGTCTTATATTTGGCGTAAAATATCGTGAATTTGGCGAGATCCAGCCAGCTGGCGAGATCCAGCCAGCTGAATGCTGGCCACCGTCTTGAATGACGTCACAGCCCTCATACCAGTTAGTCATTTCTGCTACAACGCGTGTTTTGTCAATGTGAATTGGTTGCAACGCAATTGATGAATAGGGGAACGCTGTTTATAAAGCACGAACTTTTGCATACGAATGTTGGCTATAGCGCCATACCTTCCTCAATGTTTGATTCTATCCTCAACGTTTTAAGCGTGGCTCGCGGGGTTATGCAATGTTTACAGTTCACTTTCGACTTCAAATGTTCAATTGATTCAAGTTTTTCGTTTTTGAAGTGTTTTTTTTTGAGAGGTACTCTGTAAATTTTTTTTATTTATTTATTTTTTTTTATTTTTTCAAATTTAGCTGTTACCCATAAATACTGTATGAAAAGAATAAGTAAAAAGAATGTTTCTCAGTGAGGACTAATAACGGTTTACACCAGCGCTGTCTGTTTACATCACGTGAAAAGTTGAATTGCGCAGTTTCTGTTGATTACTCCGTGATTTCTCCTATTTTGTTGTGTTAGCGATGAATACGGAAAGACAAGGTAAGAAAAATATTTCCAAGAAGCGTTCTGGTGATTGAATTGCCGGTGGTGAACGTAAAATAGGTTTCCAAGAACCCAACTATCGCGTTGTAGCCAGCGCCATCCTAGCGACCGCCCGGGCTGTTATTGTGTGCTTTTTTGGGTGGTGCTACCACCTGTCGAGTCAAGATAATGGCCTCTACCTCTACTGGGGATGGTGGGGGTGGTACAGACCCACCTAAGCGGCCCAATAAGGAAAAGGAGAAATGGGACCATCATAAGGGAGTTAAGTTTTCCAAGTACTCGATGCAGGATAAGCAGCATGTGATTAAGTTACTTGAGGAAGGCTTAAAAACTAGTTACTGGAAAGCACAATCAGGTCAATTAAGGGCAGAATTTGTATCATTTGGAGGTTATAAATGGGAAAATCAGAGGTTGATGTAGAGTGGCCAGTCTATATTGTTATTTTTCCCATTAGTTTATGTATTTGCATTTCGCGAATTTGAATTTGGCGCAATTTTTTCAGTATATTACTCACGAAATACAAGATCTTACTGTATACAAATAACTTTTTCTTTGTTTGCTGTGTATGTTTGTTGCTTTTTTATTTAAGTACTGTATGTGTGTTTGTTATATCATGTGTATTGTATGTTTCTTTTTGCATGTCTCAAGTATGTGTGGAAGTTTATACATGTAATGACATTTTGCATATATGGTTGAATACACATCTATACATTACACTTGCAATGTGCATGCACAGAAACACAATCAAATTATGGAAGAAATGCATCAGTTGTGTATGACTGAAAATAATAATTGCTAAAGTTTGTACTGTTGTAAAATTTATTTTGAAAGTTGGTATTCTATTTAATTTTTTTTTTTACAGTACTCTATTGGGTATTTATTAGTTTACAGACATAATGCATTCTTTACAGCTACAATGTCCCCAACCCCACCGTCCCAGTTTGCTCAGCAGGTGAACGCTGGTTATGAAATTCCTGCTCGTTTGCGTACTTTGCACAATCTAGTGATCCAGTATGCCTCCCAGGGCAGGTGAGTAATGTAATAATTGAGTTTGTTATTCTACGAACTGTCAGGTCAACGCCATCAGCCCCAGGCCAGGTCAGAGCCATCAGCCCCAGGCCAGGTCAGAGCCATCAGCCCTAGGCCAGGTCAGAGCCATCAGCCCCAGGCCAGGTCAGAGCCATCAGCCCCAGGCCAGGTCAGAGCCATCAGCCCCAGGCCAGGTCAGAGCCATCAGCCCCAGGCCAGGTCAGAGCCATCAGCCCCAGGCCAGGTCAGAGCCATCAGCCCCAGGCCAGGTCAGAGCCATCAGCCCCAGGCCAGGCCAGAGCCATCAGCCCCAGGCCAGGTCAGAGCCATCAGCCCCAGGCCAGGTCAGAGCCATCAGCCCCAGGCCAGGTCAGAGCCATCAGCCCCAGGCCAGGTCAGAGCCATCAGCCCCAGGCCAGGTCAGAGCCATCAGCCCCAGGCCAGGTCAGAGCCATCAGCCCCAGGCCAGGTCAGAGCCATCAGCCCCAGGCCAGGTCAGAGCCATCAGCCCCAGGCCAGGTCAGAGCCATCAGCCCCAGGCCAGGTCAGAGCCATCAGCTGCAGAGCCATCTGCTCCAGGACAGGCCAGAGCCATCTGCTCCAGGACAGGCCAGAGCCATCTGCTCCAGGACAGGCCAGAGCCATCGGCTCCAGGACAGGCCAGAGCCATCGGCTCCAGAACAGGCCAGAGCCATCAGCTCCAGGGCAAGCCAGAGCTGTGAGTGCCAGGGCAGGCCAGAGCTGTCAAATTTGTCTGTTATTGGGAGTTGACACTTCAAGCTCTACTGAATTATCAGTTTTAGCTTGATAATGAGTTTTATAGTTCTGACCTGATTGGGAGTTAACATTCTGCTTTTGTGAAAGTTAGCAGTTATTGCTTATTTTATGAATACTGTGTTTTTAAATGGTATACAATAAATACTTAACAATTTTTTCTTCATATTTAGGTATGAGGTGGCTGTTCCCCTCTGCAAACAGGCTCTGGAGGACCTGGAAAAAACGTCTGGTCATGATCACCCTGATGTGGCCACCATGCTCAATATTTTGGCTCTTGTTTATAGGTGAGTTGTTAAAGGGTTTGGGCCTACTCATAAGGAAGACTTTCAGTCTGTTCCTGTGTATCTTATGACCCCCTACTCTGCCATTAAATTTTGTTTTATATTTGTTTTAGGTTAATATATTTGTATGTGTTGGATATTTCTCTACTGTTCATTTCATAATACTGTGTTATGATCTTTGACTGTGTGTTTGAATTTTATTAGAAAATTCATGTTTGGTTGTTGTGTAAATTTTTGTATTTTAGTGTAATGCCACTTTCTGATGGTCATTTTAGAGCCAAGGACTAGTACAGTATCAGCAATCATTCCAGATGTTGGAGATACCACAAATATTCAACTTGGCAATATTTATTGAGGACCTGAAATAGCTACACATCGTTTAGATACTCACTGCATTATTGGCAAATGTAAAGGTAGACTTAACTAGTTACTGATATGATTAGTATTGTTAGGTTATGAAATGGGGTATCAAGACCAATGCAATTTTTTTTTGATGTGGAATGTTGACAAGGATTAGATCTATTTTGGTAAAAAAGAAAACAGTTTGAAGTGTTATGAATGTAGAGATGAAAGGGGTTGGGTGTAAATGGGGCTAACTAGTATGGGCCAATAGGCCTGCTGCAGTTTCCTCCATTCATATGTTCTTAATTCATGTGCAGCTGAAAGCACATACATTACTTTATACTGTGTTGGAATTAAACTTGTCATAATTTGGCTGTTGACCATAAAGGGATGTACTTGCAACCCATTAAAGAATATTAGAGGGTCTTAGGTAATAGTGGTTTATGGAGTATAAAATTACTGTACTCTTATGAATGGTGAAAATAAATGATTTACATTTTATGCACTACAGTACTGTATGTGTTTCTTATAGGGATCAGAATAAATATAAGGAGGCAGCCAACCTCCTAAATGATGCACTTGCAATTCGGGAGAAGACACTTGGTGAAAACCATCCTGCTGTTGCTGCCACACTCAACAACTTAGCGGTGAGTTACATCATCATTTGGTTTTGTGTTGATAAGGTTTATAAGATATAATGGGAGACATTTGGAATACTCTGTATTTTTGTGAAGTGTTGGACAATAAATTCATGTTCTATGTTACTGAAATGACATATAGAGGTCATTGGTTTGGGTAGATAACCTTGAGGTGAGTAAGGATCATTACATACTTGTACTGCCATTCACTTGGTAATTCATGTAATGTCCTTGCTAAGTTTTCAGGGTCAGGACCCAGGGTACCCCAACATTCATGGCTGGGACTTAATCTTATGGTTAACCTACCTCCTGGTGTAATTGTTACTCTCAAGAGGGGAATTGACAAAGCATGATGTCACATTAGCATGTACAGTATGTACCATGCTTGAATCTGATAAATTATTTTTATTTTTAGCCTAATTCAATTTTGTGGACATGAACTGAGCTCTAATTTTAGCATAAGAAAATGCCCCTAATTATGTAATCGAGGTCAATATGTTTTTGCTGACACTACCATATTAAAACAATTTTTTTTTTATTAACCTTTAGAGAAGTGAACACCGTTATGTTCCATTGTCTGTGTGAGAGGAAGACAGACAATTTCTTTACTGTGAAAATAAACTCTTTTACCTTTATACATTTCAGGTCTTATATGGTAAACGAGGGAAATACAAGGAGGCAGAACCACTTTGCAAACGTGCATTGGAAATCCGTGAAAAAGTTTTGGGTCGTGATCATCCAGATGTGGCGAAGCAGCTCAATAATTTGGCCTTACTCTGTCAAAACCAGGTATATAATATATGAATGTGTATGTGATAGCAAGCAAGTGAATTAGCACTGATGTAAACCAGCTGGCTCTGCTTTGCAACTGAAATCCTGCTGGAGTGTGGCTCATGGGAATGCAATTTTCAAGTTTAACATGTCTTTATACGACACTTGCCTGATCTTGAAGAGCCATAAATTTTGTTTCTTCAAATAAACCCCTTCTTATTTTATCTCTTAATGTATACACCCTTAAGAAAGAAATGATGCATGAAATATTTTGGGGGCTGAAAATATGAAGCAGATATAATTCACAAAAAAGCATTTCAAAAGGAGCTGGTGACATTGTCAAGCACATTACAGTATTTTTGAAAACTTGATGTTTGTTCTTCAGAACTTTTGATGTTTGCATCAGTAAAAGAATATCACCCAGTTTTGTCTCTTCATATTTAATTGTATATAAAGATGGTTAGATAATTATGTTGTTACTCCCACTGCATGAAGGCTTGCTACATAAAGTTTCCTAGGTTTTAAAATATTTCTCTGCTGATTTTACTTATTTATTTTTATTTTTTATATGTTAATGTGTGGTTTTTCTAATTTGCAATATTAAGTCACTTCCCTTCACTTTTATGTAATATTACTAGGCAAATTTTCTTGTTATTAACCTAGGATTGGGGCTTTCCACCCCATATTCCCCTCACTTGTAACAACTGTAGTGAGAAAAAAAGTGCTGTAGTAACCCTGGTGTGTACGGAGTGGAGTCCTGTTGTAATGGCCGTTTTGACAAATGAATAGTTTTTCTTAAAAGTAAAATTTTATGTAATAGTCAATGAAATGACAGAGTCAGATTAAAGTTCAGTTAATGCTTGATATCAAGTAGTCTTGGTTGCAAGAAACTGAAGCCAAATACTGTACTGTAAAGGGAACATAAATGAAAATGTAGATGTAAGGGCCACTATAACGGGATGGAAGTTTCCCTCATAATGGGTGTATCGTAGTAACCCTCCAGCTAGTGTGTGTGCCTGTGTGACTAACCGAGGTTGTGCCGCAGATCTCTCAGGAGGAGCGTAGAGGGGTGCCTAAGGAGGAGCTTCTCGTAAGTTATTCAGAATTGTAAACTCTTGTTATGATAAAGATAATCCTGGTTTATTGGGTGCCTTGTTGAAGCTGCTGGTGGTGAGGGTGTTCTTGTAGTAGTGGTGTGCTCTGTATGTTCACTTCTATGATTATTGTCTTTGACTGTGCAGCAGATAACTACATGTAGACATAGAGAAACTTTTGAAATGCATCACAAAATTTGTTGTTATTCAGCACCACCATTTCTTTTGGTGTTATGAAATTTCTATCATACATTAAGAGAAGTTAAATAACTCAGAATATGCTGAATGAATTCGTCAGTAAATTATTGAGCGTGCATGTGCACATATGTGAGTGTGCATGTGTATGTATGTATGTGTGTAATACTGATGATAATGAAAGGGTTATTGAAAAGAAATCATCTAGAAGCAGAAAACTTGCATAAGACATTAGGGTACATTTGTTTGTGTGTGTGAGGGAGAGAGAATTTATTTATGTGCATGTGTGCTTGCATGTGTTGTAATATCCTTAATTAGTCCAAGCTGATACATTGTATCGTGTAGTCTGCCTTGTCATCCAACCTGCTAAACAGTCCCGTTTAAAGTGAAACTTGCCCCACAATGTGTTTGATACCTTTGATTTAATGGAAACTTTTTGTGCGATGTTATTCATCTTTCAAGCCTTTTCATGCTATAATGCAGTCTTGTAGTCAAAATAATTTAGTTTATAAATTTTGTAAATTTCGCTTTTGTACTCAGTAAATTGGTGGAATAATTGTTGAATATAGTGGAGGAAAATAGGAGGGTAAAAAAAAAAGTATAAATAGATAAATCATGGGTTGGGTGAATTTCAAAGAAAGACGGTAGTACCTGTATGTGAAATATACCATAATTAAATGGTGAAGACAAAGGTTTAGTATTAAGAAGACTTTTACTTTATTGGGATGATAATCACAGCTATGATTTGAGAGTGCAAATTAAAATACACATATTGCTGCAACTTGGAGGGACGTGAACGTGTGTCAAGGGCCACTTTATGCTTGTTACTGCTTTTCTTAGTAAATCATGCTAATAATGTGCATAATTTTACTGAGGAATGGTGAGATCAGTTACCTGGCTTAACAAGCTGTCTGTGAAGATACTTAGTAAATTATTGAGTCTTAAATCTGGAGGTCAAGAAACAGTTAAAATTTGGAAGAAGATAAGTTGTAAAAAAAAAAAAAATATTGGGAAGTAATGAGTTGATGAGAGAATAAGAATATTTATACAGTCTTAATAAAGTGCTGACAGAGAAGGCTGAGGAAAATAAAAGATGTGGTAGAAGGATGCTAAAGCAATGTTTATGGTACTTGTACTGTACTCGTGAAGCTGTGAGATGTTACTCATGAGAAGTAATCGTGAAAATGCAGAAATTAAATACCATATACATTACTTAGATAACCTAATTTTACAACTAACAATAGGATGTTCTTTTTATGGTGCTTCACTTTATCCACCAATTAATAAGTCATTCAAAATATAAAAAAAAAAATTTAGTTGCTATATGTCCTAAGAATTATTTTCTGACTATATTTTTATTAAATCAACAGCATATCATACACAGCTGAGAAAGAGTAATAGTCCATAATGATTAAATCTTAGATAATGAAAATGTTGCCTTGGTGTAAGAGAAATTGGTGCTGTGAGAGTCATACACCTTGTATCTTACTGCTGTTCAGTACCATAAGTATTATTTTGTTTTTAAGAATAAATGGACGTAGATTGTATTCCTCTGTCGCTTCTTTAGTATTTTTTTAACTTGCTTGTGCATTTAAGTTTTTATTACATCCACCTTCTTTCCTTCTCTAGATTATGCTTTTAAATTTATTTGTATTGTGTTCTATGTATTATGCTCTGTACTGTTTCTTTTATACCTTTGAAGATCTTTGTTACACTCGAGCAGACCTCAGGTAATTTTACTATGATGCATTATCGTAAAAATTTTATTCACTCTTAAAGTGGAAAGGACAATCATGAATTTTTTTTATGTAACTAATAACTCCCACTAAAATTTTTGTGCATAAATTGGTTTTTGTGTATGTAATAAGTGTTTCAGATTGATGTCTCCTATTTTGATTTTAGATGTACTGTACTTTATAAAGAATTGATTCAGAGTTTTGAATATGAGGAATTTGACCTAAAGTAATTTACTCTTCTACCTTTAGGGCAAGTACGAGGAGGTGGAGCGATACTATCAACGAGCTTTAGAAATTTATGAAACTAAATTAGGGCCAGATGATCCTAATGTTGCCAAAACCAAGAATAATTTAGCATCTGCATACCTAAAGCAAGGCAAATACAAGGAAGCAGAAATTCTATACAAGCAGGTGCTGACTAGAGCACATGAACGAGAATTTGGTGCCATTGATGGTGAGCCATATGTTTTTTATGGTTTTTTTATTATGTTGACAATAATTTCAACATCTTAAGCAAACTCTGGTGGCTTTACAGGAGGCCATCCTTAATGAAGAAGCTAGTTATTACTATCCTGTGTGACATTCCTACTCTTGATTGATTCAATAGGATTGCTCCCATGGGGTGTATAAGCTAAGCATAACACATTCAACTTACAAGTACTGTACCTCCTGTTCCTAGCTGGCTTTAGTATAAAGATTCTTGGTCCCATTATATACTGTAGTTGTAAATAGCAGATTGGCCATTTTTGGGCTTTGCAACAAAATAATATGGTTGGTTGGTACTGGAAATGTACTGATTACTCTATTTGGCCCTTAAATAATGAGAAATGACTTTCATCTTCTCAATTCTCTTTTATTCCCTGCTTTTATTATCTTTATAAACATTATACTAAATTTTTCCACACACACTTGAAGATTTCATAGATAAATAATTATGCAGGAATTTTAAATATTTTAAGTAGTATTGTGGTGCTAGATAATTGATTAGCACCCAGAAATAATGACCAACATATCTACCTTTTGTTATGACAAAGTATTTTCAGTAAATTTGGTTAATAGTGTAATGTTTGTAGAAAATAAAATCCATTTGCATAAGAATAAAGATACTGTCACCGGACTTAATACTTATGTATATTATATTTATTTCTTGCAGGTGATAACAAGCCCATCTGGCAGGTAGCTGAAGAAAGGGAGGAAAACAAGAACAAAGTGAAGGACTCTGCACCATATGGGGAATATGGAGGCTGGCATAAAGCAGCCAAGGTGGACTCCCCAACCGTTACTACAACTCTGAAGAATTTAGGAGCACTATACCGCCGCCAGGGCAAATATGAGGCCGCAGAAACCCTCGAGGATTGCGCCATTCGGTCACGTAAGGAGGTCAGCTGATATATCCCTGACCCACGATTGAATAGATGCTGATAACCGATTACGTTTTTTGTCACCGCTTTTAGTTTTATATTCACCTATATATACATAGCTGTTCTGAAAAAGATGATGCACAGAATATAGCCATATTAATTAATTTTCCCACAAAAGCAATCTCCCTCTGATACAATGATTTGGATGGACATGTAAGTAATAGTTACTTATGATTAAAATGCCATTGATGTAATGGGTCTTTCTTATGCATTTTTTCTGCCTTCAAAACTTACTGAATAATTGTAAATACAAGGTTGCAAGAGCCTTTGACTTCGCATGCTGAAATAGCACAAGGATGACCTGATGCAACTCTCTAGACGTGGTTGGTTATCAGTGTCTGTCTGTCTGTCTGCCTTTGCTCTGTGTGTGCTGGGATATTCACTGCAAATAAGGACTGATACCTCTTAGGAGATTTCCTCCTCCCCTCCCTCAACTTGTTTTCCCCCAATAAGTGGTGTTTTTATTTATTTTAATTTTTAATTTTTTTTGAATGGTATGACTTAATGCTGATCATAGTAACCCTGAATTATTTACCTTCCATAAAGAAATATTGTACTTGAGATTATTTTATTTATACTTATTTCATTGTATGAAAAATGTTTTCCATTTGGTTATATTGCACTTACAAGAGTCACCATTAAAGTTGTCTGACTATTGCTATATCAAGAAATACATTATATTTCACACATATCATTATAAGATTATTTTTAACAGATTTTTTCCCCATATATACTAAAGCGGAAGTCACATGGAATGTATCCTTTAGTTTTTGATCACATAAAATGAAAAATCAGTGTTCATAAAATCCACTAGAGAAATTGATGATTCAAGATGGTTTCATAAACTAATGGTCAGGCAGCCAATGATGGTATGAGGGGAATAACGTAGCTGCTGTGTTGTGATGAATATTTTGTGATACTGTGCCTTTGTGTGTGTTTCTGGGGCAATTGTTGCTTCTTCAGAAGGGTAAATATTGTTTGGTTGAAGTATATCTTTAATAGAGGATATTACTGTGTACTAGAATAGAATACAAAATGATCATTGAACTGGTATTCTAAATACTTTCAAGAAATTTTAAACTACACATCCATTAAACAATATTTATTCTTGATATCCTTCTGGTATGTCCATGTATTTGGGTGTACTAGCATGTTGCTATGTGTGCACCAGTGGTCTAATGAGTGTGCGTGCGCGCATGTGACTGTGCGCGCCAATGGTCCTTCAGGCCGTCAATCTGGTCAAGGATGGGATGACCCCAGAGGGCAGCCGACGACTCTCAGCCTCGAAGGACAGACTCCGAAGGGGGTCGCGAGAGTCCCTTAACTCCGCTGATTTTGATGCCAACGACGATGTAAGTAGATCACCACACTCCCATACTCACAATAAGCGCACACTCACACGCACATAAGTGGAAACTGTCAACAAATAGAATTTTGTGACTACAACTTCTCCAAATATCTTGGATTATTGGCCAGTCATGACTGATCCAAATAAAATGTTGATGTGATCACAACTAGGTTTTTATATATATATATATATATATATATATATATATATATATATATATATATATATATATATATATATATATATATATATATATATATATATATATATATATATATATATATATATATATACAGTATATATATATGGGTGTGTGTGTAGCAATTGTAGATTGGATCAGTAGGGAAATTTCTTCACACAATTATTCTTTTTCTTATAGCCTTGACCAAAGTAAGTGTTAGTGTGTGCCTCAATCCCAGGGTTGTCTACTTCTTTGAGTAATACTCTAATAGAGAAGAGTTGTATATTTATCACCTGGCATGCTTTGCTCGGAAGGAGTGCCTCCCTGGGTGCTTGTATGGGAGGTGTGCATTCAGATCTAGTGCAAGCAGTGCGTGGACACTTCACAGGATGGCAGGGAAGTGCACTCAATGTTCTACTGAACCTGGACTACATCCTATACTCCAACTAGGTCATACAGTATATGGAGCTTCAGCTGTTGCAGCCTTTAAGATGCTGGAGTTCCCATAATTGAACTATTTGTTTGCTTGCTTGATGTAGGTGTTCATAGTGTCAGCCATGGCATAGGTAATTTTTTTTTAAATCCATTTATAGGATGTGAAGAAAAATCCTTTGACAAAAAGTTTTTACATTTTTAGGGCATGTTTGTATTGCTGTTGGTCTTTTTCTGATGTGCTCTGACTGTGATACATGTTCTTGGGTGTATTTTGCTTTTCAATCCTCCCAGTCAGTGTAGCATTTGTGTTTGTATTTACTGTATCCTAGATGTCCTGTTTCTTAGCTGGTATCCAGTGATAGTCACACTACATATTATTTAAACCTACACAGATATCTGCATTGTGCTTGGTGCATTTTGTATGAGATGAGTGTTAATTTAATATTTAATTTTGAGTTACATTTTACATGTATGTAGTGCTTAAAACTAAAGATATATGAATGTAGATAGTGGCTAAGTTATGAAAACTACTTAAATTCAGTAGCATCGTAGTTACACAAGGTTATCTTGAAATGAATTTCAGGGAAGTGAGATATTTAAGTGTTCCATAAGTATTGGATTTCAGACTGAATACAACTGCTGAATAACTTGTGTGCATAATTTATTGAAGATTTATTTATGATTTTTTTTTTAGATCATACTCTGGAGTAAAGTACATATTTATATGATTTGAGTTGCATATTTTAATATCTGGATACCTTTCATTGTGTATACACTTGATATGATCATATTATACCATTGTGGTCCTAATGATATACCCTTATGGTTCTGGTATATTATTATGGTCTTAAATTACCATTGTGGTTCTGGTGTGACCATCATGGCTTTGATGTACCATTCAAACATTTGTCTTTTGAAGGGATCCAGTTACGAAATATGAATAACATACAGGCCAGTCTAGAAAAAAAGCAGTGATTGTTTGAATTGATATATTCTGGTTACTTTTTGGATGCACACATCAATATTCAAAAATTGTTAGAAAATATTTTGAAAATTCCCTTTGTGTCTCATGCTAGAATTTATGGTGGTATACTCTGGTTGGTCAGAATGAACGGGGAAGATTCTACAGTTGCCACTTTGCACTAATAATGGGAAAGTGTCTTGGTTGTTACATAGAACACATTTCTTGGCAACGTTTTAAATATACTTATTAATCCCATTTACTGCCGAGGAACTGGATATATAATTGTAAGGCTATTTTACCAAAGTACACCATTCTACGAGTACAATACTGCTGAATGAATTTATGCCTTCAAATCCAGAGAAATATCTCTTCGTGCAGTGGTTAATATGTATATATGAAGAGTTCCTCTCTTATAATTTTTGTGTTGGTAATCAATTTTCTTGTTGCATATTACTTGTGGATATAAACATCAGATAAAAATTTTTCTTTTGGTGTTTTGACAGGTTGTACAGTGGTAAAATTGTTTGGAGAGTGGACTGGTTTATAAGAAAGAGTTAATTTTAATGACATACATTTCAAAATGCAGCTCGAGTGAAATATTGTAGTATCCTACCCACCTTAATTATACTGTACATTGTTTCCAACAAGCTTACATTTGAGTACCGTTAAGTTTTTTGGTTGTGATTTTAAGATTTCTAAGGTAGAATGGATTTTTTTAATGGCAGTTTCACAACAAAATGTTGAAAATAATAGTCATGCATTGTGAGATTTAGGTTGAAAATATTTTTCGTTAGTTTACAATGTACAGTATTGCCTTCATATTAATGATGTGGCAAAAAATATGCCCTGTATATGCATGATAATGGTGCATTCAGGTTAGCAGCTTAGACTAAAGTTTAACTGGAGTCATTTACTCAGTAAACATAGGTAAGGAATACTGAATTTTTAATCATAAAGTCCTGAAATATAAATAATGACAAACATGTTAAAAAAAAAAATATTGTGATGATTAGGGATTACCGATACCAAAATTTTTGCCAATACCAAAACTCCGCTACTTTGAAACGGCCGATAGATACCAATACCGATACTAGTAGAAAATTAAAAAATTTTCAAGCTTAGTAACAGCTAACTATATGTATGAGATAAGCTCGGCTGATTTAACAAACTTTAATTTTATTCGGAATGTGAAACATACATCTTCTCAGCACTTGGTGTGCAGTAAGACTCTTGGATCTCTTGCAGAAAGTGAAAAGCATTTGAAAATGTATTATTTCCTAAGCAAACTTTATTAAAAAAAAAATTATAATAAATATATATACAGTGAACCCTCACTTTACGCAGTCAATTGAACCCACGGCGGCCCGCGTAAAGTGAGAAACGCGTAAAGTGAACAACATAACATAAGGGATTAATTGAAATAGAGACCGGGCCGACCCCCAAACTCCACTTTTTCAGACACAATACCTACGTTGTAGTAAAAATAACTTCTTAATTTTATGATGGTATGCACACACAATTAATAATTAAGAGAACTATCAATAATATTCGGTTTTTTAACACTTACATTAGTAGAAAAGATGGCTGGGCACACGGGGATGATGGGTTGGTTCCGAGGCAGAGGGCAGATTATTGGCCCTCACCTGTATCACTTGTATCAATTGTATCACTATCCACCACACACACACACACACATATATATATATATATATATATATATATATATATATATATATATATATATATATATATATATATATATATATATATATATATATATATATATATACATATATATATATATATATATATATATATACATATATACATATATATATATATATGTATAATTAGAAAATTATGGGGGCCCCATGTGCATTCAGCTGACTACATTAAAGGTTAAGTGCTCAGTCACACTGTATCCATTCCTTATTATTTATTACTTTCACTGTACTGTATCCATTCATCATTATTCATTACTTTTACTGTACTGTATTTCATTGTAGATTTTTTATTAAAAAAATATATATATATATATATATATATATATATATATATATATATATATATATATATATATATATATATATATATATATATATATATATATATATATATATATATATATATATATATATATATATATATATATATATATATATATATATATACAAGTAGTTCTGCTATACTTAGCGATAATTGTGTTCTTGTAAAATATCGTGTTATAGAAAATCGCTAATAGAAATAACAGGGCTTATGGAGAAAATAGGGTTAGGTGCAGATTACTCGAAATCGAAAAAATTTAGTAGTTAGCCTAACACAAAGGATAGCACAGTCTAAATAAATGTTACATTCATATCTAATAATGAAATCATACAGTAAATGTAACACTTTACCTTGAAAAAATATGAATGTAACTTGATGGGGGAGAAGGGTGATTTTGAGGTTGATAAAATCGAGCTTCTCTTCAAGTGTTATATCCTTTCTTTTACGATCATCACCGGGAATTCTATCACCAGAACGCTTCTTGGAGATATTCTTCTTTACCATATTCACAGTTAATACCACAAAATTGGAGAAATAGTAAGCAAAAATCGCGTTATAGCAAACAAGCGTTCGGCGTTATAGCAGAACTCACTGTCTATATATATATATATATATATATTATATATATATATATATATATATATATATATATATATATATATATATATATATATATATATATATATATATATATATATATATATATATATATATATATATATATATATATATATATATATATATATATATATATATATATATATATATATATATATATATATATATATATATATATGGCAAAATTCTTACCAATTTATTGATGAGCAAACAAGTTCCAAAATATATACAATAACTCTTAAGTATAAATGGCAGCTTCTGATATAACTAAATATCAATATCAATATTCCAGTTCTTCAGTACATTTAAATAAAAGTAGCTAAAGCCAAATTAGCCAAAGATGTACTGCAGTTCTAAAACTTATATAAATCTAAAGATATAAGCAGTACAGGGGGGTATTAAGTTTTTAAAATAACATTTACAGAATGTGCACAAGTATGTTCATACTCATCCTCTTCATATGATCGCCTGCTGATGTGTACGGGGTTAAACTTGAAATTTACAGTATTTTATTTACCGGATTAATTTTTTACTTTCATTTACTGTATTTTGTCATTCAATTTCTCTTTTTGTCTTAAATTAAGAGATTTTAGATGCATATAAGGACTTTGGCTATTATATACTGAAATGGGATTTTAAACATTGTTCTGTAAGTATGATATTCACAAGCATGTGTTCTTACTTATGTACAAATCTGACTTGAGAACGTCCTCAGGAACGGAACCCGTTTGTAACCCAGGGACCCCCTGTATAGCTTGCT